CGGAGTGGCGGGTTCAATGTCTTCTTGTTTTATGTTTTATGGTTATTTTGTTTAAATTTTTGATGGGGGAAAAAAAAGACTTTGTCCGACCTACCGACCCTATGCTGAAATTTCATGTTACCAGAAACACACTATCTTTTTTGTTTGGCCTAATGGGTTGTCCCACCCGTAGCAGCGATAAAAAAAAATCAAACTTTTGCAACAGTTGGCGATGGGTCGTTCAAATTGCTATGGAGGAATTTTGGCCCACCCTTTGCAGAATTGGTTCAACTCCGCTATATTTGAGGGTTTTCCAGCATGAACTGCCCGTTTAAGGTCACACCACAGAATCTCAATTGGATTCAAACCCGGACTTTTGACTTGGCCACTTCAAAACCTTAAAAGCCTGTGAAACTCAGCTTTCCCAAAAATGTTATTGGTCATGGTTCCTTTATGATTTAACAAATGGGGTCAATTAATTTTTCACATAGAGCCAGATGGATTTTAATTTTTTTCCCCCCCTTGGTAAATGAAATCATCATTTAGAAACTGCATTTCATACTGCGTTGGATTGTCTCTATGAGATATTAAAATTGGTTTGATGAACTAAAAACGTTGTGTGTGATAAATATGCAAGGATCACAGAAACCGGGAAGTGAATACTTTTTCACGGCACTGCACAGTACACGTCGGCTCCCCAATTGCTGTATTTAAATTAGTGTGTGTGAGTGTCAAAACACACTGATGTGAAAAGATCGTATTCTTATGTGCACTCCACAAGCCAAATGAAATGTGTCATCTTGTATTTATCTTGTCCAAATCGCTCTTGGAGAGAGCGAAAGAGAGATTGTAATTGGAATGGCACTAATCTGGTGAAATCAAATTTGCTTACAACCTTTTTCTTTCTTTACCTGCCCCCCCCTGCAGTGCAGACACAGGGATGGTCTTTATGATGGTGGCACCAGGTTTGGTTAGAACGGAGCCAGCCTGCGGACTGCTTCGCACAGTGGTCTGTTTGCCGTCCACAGAGCTCACCAGCTTCAAGATAGTTCCAGTCGGGAGGCCACCCTTCGCCTAATGCACACAAACATTGTTAGAGTGTACTCAGTGACTTAATGGCAAAACGAGGCTCTAAAAAGTACCTGGAGAATCTGCGCGACAGAGCTGCTCCCTGTCTGACCGGTCGCACTTTGGACAGGTTTAGCCTGTACCACAGACATCACCTTTCCCAAGTTGCTGATCTGACAAATCAGAAAAAGTATGATATCAGTGAACTGAGCAAACTGACCAAGAAGATCATGGACCTGTCAATTTTTTGGCATACGCACATCGCTCCATTTTAAGTATTAAGCACAAACCTAAGTGAGTGACTGGGGGTTGTTAATAAGACTATGACTTCACAAGTACAAGTACAAACACTTACCAAAACACTCATTCCTCGAATTATAATATAGGAAGGAATAGCCGTAACCACACTCATCCAAGTAAATATTGAGAATAATCTGGCAGCATGACTGATTCTTTTGAAGTTTTTTTTTTCTTTTTTAACGCAACACAACCCATGACCATCCTCTTACATGTGTTATGCATAAACAATTGAAATTAGTACATTAACAAGCTTTGTGTGTTACTAATTATACCAGGGTAAGATCAAAACACGTACAGTTTGACAAGTTTGAGATGAGCATCAAATGACATCACTCACCACAGTGCCACCCGCTCCCACGCCCAGTGGGCTGTTAACGAGCGTATAGGTCTTGGTGACTCCCCCCACCACCGTGGTGACCACCCGAGTCTGCGGGGAGACCGTCACCGTTCCAGACTTGTGCACTGTGATAATTGGTCGGCTGCCTGCCCCAGGGCTTGAGACAACGGTTGCTCCGCCCACCTGAGCTGCGGCAGTTTTTAGGATACGAGTTGCAGGGTTGCTCACCTGCCAGAAGAGAGTCTTAAGGACTGGAATTCGTTTGCTCATGTCATGTGTACTTCAACTATATGAAGCCTACCACTGTTAAAGGAAGACTGCCGGATCCGGGACTGACCGCCACAGTCTTCACGATGGCGGCCCCTGCCGGGACGTTGAGCACGGTCGCAGTAGCGGGCGGGATCTTACGGGTAGCTGCAGCCGCCGCTGCCAATGCCGCCATTCCACTCATTTGTGGACTGCTGCCAATTGGCTAAGAGCAAACAACAAGCGGGATGTCATTTTATTCCTCATGCAGAAATGCCAACCCTTATCAACACTGCTCAACAACATTCTGTATATTTTGCCAGAAACTAGGGCTGGGCGATTATTCAATATCAATAAAGTCAAAACTCATTTCAACCTACCCCGTTAACATTTTCACCCCTACAATGTTCACATTTCAAAGTACCTATTTCAGGTAATTCATTTTTCATTTACCGATTGTGCTTACACCGAACACCTTTATGACGTAAACTTCATTCTAACGACCAGATTAAAATAGTCAAAAGGCCTTTGCTATAACGAACCGTGGGAAGCTAACTGCCGCCGCGACCTTGCTTACGAACAAAATGTATGGGGCAGGATTCCCCTCTGTTGCTTAGCAACGCTACTGATCGCCTGGGTACATTGTTGTACTTCCTGTTCTAACTCACGGAGGCACGGCGCGGTCTTGAGCATAAGGTCTGTAAACATGTCTGGTAAACGGAAGCGAATCTCGTCTGTGAAGGCTGAATTTGTCCTTCACTTGCAAAAGGGAGTCTCCCGGACGTCGGCGGCACTGGCTGTTGCCGATAGCAGGTAACATTTGCTGACTGAATGTTTTCAGAAATTAAGCAGGAACGCTTACAGTTGTTTGCTTCATGTAAAATCATTTTTTTCTTCCTACACACATATTTGTAATTGACATGCTTATACTGTATTACATGTTCATGGCGACCATTTTATTGGAAATGGTTACGACGAACTACGGTTACAATGTACAAATTCGTTATGTCTCCCAATGTTCATTGTAATGAGGTTCGACTGTACTTACCGCGACACTTCATCAATATCAATAGAAATTGCACTCAATATAATATACATTTTAAAAATATATTTGAAAAAAATCAGGAAGCAAACCCCGATCCCGAGATTCTGAGTGTTGTAGTCAGATGCTACACAATGACGTTAGTTTTGTGCCATCATTACAAGCACCTAAGAGGAAGTTTGGAGCACAAAAGTGGGCTTTACTACCAGATATTTTGAATGGTATTTTTTTTTCTCTTGATAGTTGTGTTTTTTTAAATTTTAATCTTTAATCAATTTAATTGATTTAAATTTTTATCTTTTATCAAATTGTTTCATATTTTAAATGTATTAAAAAATCACTATTATAGATCGACTGATATGAAATGCATACATTGTGATTCGCCAAGCCCGACTCAGGACATTATGTTGAAAAAAGACGTTTATTTTATCTTTAAATTGACCAGTTGTGTCATGATTCGGTTTGGGACCAACAGGTGGCACTGTAGGGCTCTCCCTGCAGCTGCACACCTGTTGGTCATTATGTAATTAGTGTTTTAAAAAGACTCCCAGCCCGAACACTCGGTGTCGGGTCATTGTTGCTTTGTGCTACTGTCATGTTTGTTTGTTGCTTTGTGCTAATGTCAAGTTTGTTTCAGTCAGGTTTTGGTCATTGTTATGTTTGATCTTCGGTCATGTGTTTTGTTTGATACTTTGGACTTTGTTTGCTTTGGATTTAGTTTTCTCTGTTTTAATACAATCTTTCAAGTACACCCTGCTCCTCCCTCCTGCCTGCATTTTGGGTCCAACACCACCTCACAACCGCTACGTGACAAGTTGATTTGACTTTTTCATAGTTGGTTTAACCTCTTCATTTTTGGTTAATATTATATTTTTAAATAGATTCAGCCTTAAAAACTTCATATTTAACATATATTGATATCAAATGACATAAGATAAGATAAGATATCCTTTATTTGTCCCACACTGGGGAAATTTACAGCCTTCAGCAGCAGATTGTGGGTAGAAAGAAGAGAAAAGAAAACACAGTTCAATTAAGTGCAATATAAATACAAATATGGATAAGGTCAATAAGTTCAATTAAGTGCAATATAAATACAATAGTCACAGTACTATTCACATTTGTTGTCCAGCAATCAAAAGCATTTTGATTTTGTCAGGGACATTTGACTCTCCGGTAAAACAAACATGCACCACGTGAAAGACTCCAGATAAGACTACCAGTAGTATTTTCTCTCTTTGAACAGTTTTGAGTGTCAAAATTGACAGCTTATTTTTCCCAGTTTTGTTTAATTCATTACAATGTCTTAACAGTTGGCACCATATTGCTATGTATTCAACTATGTCCAGTTGTTTTTGGATCAAACTGGTTCAACTTCTCTCTAGCTGGGTTTTACTGGAGCCATATATTCCAATCAGAATGAATCCAGATGTCCAAAAGGAATGAAAATGCTCCATATAAACACCTCAATCGGAATAAAAAGGCCGCATCTGAATTGAATTTCATTCATGTAGTTCAGTTAGAAGACCCAAGCTGTGTCCAGCCTGCACCTGCTCTGTTATGAAGTAAGTGCATCATGACATCATCGTATACCAGGGCTCATCTGAGACGGGAAAACTTGTAGATGTAACTTGTTTTTAAATCAGGATGTTGGTTTAGTCATAGTGATAAAACTATGGCAACTACTGTACGAAATAGATGAACTCCATCTTGATAAGTCGCGTGATGTTTACATCAATCTAAGCCTATCACATATTACTAACATGGGTGATCTGATTGACGTGGTAGGGGAACGGCAGATCGGAATAGATCATGTCACATCTAAACAGGTAACCAGAGCTCTTCATTTGGAATCATTTAAATCGGAATGACAAAAAAAAAAAAAGTCAATATTTAAACGCAGCTTGTGAATTTAATTCTGTAAGCTTTATACTTTTTGTGTATGATAAATAGCTCACAAGGCTAATTTACCCAGTATTAATATCAAACCTCTGAAGTTTAATTTACATGATATGAATTGCGGAAGGTTACACTTTCATAAGTCAGTACGTATTAGTTTTAAAACCAGATGAAAAAACATTTACACATGAGTGCCTGATGCTTGCTATAGGTACTTAAAACATTTTACTGAGCTCCCACTGACGGGCGAGCCAAGTGTGACTGTGTAGATATCAAACAAAGTAGAACACCTTGGACACCCACTCCAGATTAAGAGCGGGTAGAGTATAAACTCAAAAACAGGTGAAATGATCATTCATCTCCCTTTTCAAGGAATGTGCTGGACTTATTGCAATTAGGCAGCAACATCCACCTGTTTCTATCCACACTTTGTCCATATTGTCATGCATCAGTCTGTGCAGTAGTATTAGCCACAAGCCAATCACGACAGTTTTGTGAACGTTAAGGGCAGATCGTTGGTTATTTGCATACTGTTGCATAATGCAGAGTAAACTAATGTAACGATTGTTGCTCCTTGCAAAAGGTACTATGGCAGGGTGGGGAATTCATGGAAAAATACAGGTGGGCTTTTCAAAACTTTCCGAAGTATAATTATTTTTCCCAGCCACTAGATGGTGTCATTACTCTGTCTAATGCATCATAGTGTATCTGTTGGGTAGGCAGTGCAGGATTTGTCTTTTTCTTTTTTTTTTTTTTTTTTACAAAGGGCGAAAACAGAAGATTATGAGGCATACACTGTAAATTGATTTGCAAAGAAAATATTGATCCCACTCATTCCCCCTCTATTATTACGGCTCGAGCAGCGACTGCCACAGGGTCTCCATTGTTTTTGTAGAAATTATTATTCAGATCAAATCTATTGAGAGCTTTTGAGATTGCTCACTGCATCACATCTAAAGCTGCAGAGTTCGGAAAGTAGTTAAACATGTGACTTTGACTGGCCTTTTTTTTATGCCATCTTCCTACCCTGCCACATTTGCAGTCATTTAAATGGCGGCCAGGTGGTACAGTGGTTAGCGCGTCGACCTCACAGTGCAGTGGTGCAGGGTTCAATTCCGGCTCCGGCCTCCCTGTGTGGAGTTTGCATGTACTCCTAGTGCCTGCGTGGGTTTTCTCTGGGTACTCCGGTTTCCTCCCACATTCCAAAAACATGCATGGCAGGGTGATTGAACACTCTTAAAATCAGGGGTGTCAAACTCATTTCACATTGTGGGCCACATACGGCCTCGGAAGATGTTAAAATTATACCATACTCTGGAAGCAGGTAACCAAAATAAAATGTTTTCATCTAAAGAAGCACAAGAACAATCGGAAAATTTTGAAATTTAATGAACATATCTTTTACAAAACATTTCATGAAGCAGCTTCGATTCCCTTAAGACAAATGTGCAATTTACTTTTATCATTCACATATATGTATTGCAACTGATCCCACTGATTGAACAAAGGCACAAAACTTTATCAATTGGTTTTGAAAAATTATACGAATGCACTTTAAGATTAAACGAGATTTATAAAGAAAGTTATTTTTAAAACATTTACACATGTGCATATAAAATCTAAATTTAATCCCTGACTACACCTTACAAACTAAGGAGAATGCTATTAAATGTGTAAAGAATAAAATATTCACATGTCCTTGATAGCATCTGCTGTGTTGGGTCTGTCTCAGTGACAGACTGAGGCTGCTGTTGTCTTCTTCTCTGATCAAAACAGTGTGCGCCCTAGCGGATACCCTATGAATTGCACCTTATTAAAAATATTCATTCCGTGTCTTTTATGCATGTTTTCACATTTAAATTATCCTGCGGGCCTGATCGAACCTCCATGGGGGCCGGTTCCATCCCGCGGGTCGTATGTGTGACACCCCTGCTCTAAATTGTCCCTACGTGTGAATGTGAGCGTGGATGGTTGTTCTTCTCTATGTGCCCTGCGATTGGCTGGCAACCGGTTCAGGGTGTCCCCCGCCCACTGCCCGAAGACGGTTGGGATAGGCTCCAGCACCCCCCGCGACCCTTGTGAGGATAAAGCGGTTCAGAAAATGGGGGGAACAACTGCCATTCCCACACTGTTAAAGTTTGTAACTGTCATAGAAAGTGGACGGGCATAAACAGTTTCCATGCAAACAAAACACCGGTTTTGCTACATTAGAAGTAATTCATGCGAAGGCTCATGTGGGATTTGGTGAAAGAAGTCACATTTTATTGAACTCCTAGAGATATTATCTGATTGTCTTGAAACTGCAGGTGCTGAGAAACACACCTGGCAAAATATTTTATTTTAATATTTGCAATGGCATGTGTCAGTCACACATGCCATTGCAACACAGCCCCATATGATCACAGATGCTGGCTTTTGAACTTTGCCTCCAGAACTGTCCAGATGGTTCTTTTCCTCTTTGGCCCAGAGGACATGACGTTCACGATTTCCAAAATCCATTTGAAATGTGGACTCATCACATCACAGAACACTTTTCTAGTAGAGTTTTAAGTTGCATTTATGGATGTAGCGCTGAACTGCATTCACTGACATTGTTTTTCTCAAGTGTTCCTGAGGACAAATAGTGATATCCGTCACACACCTGATTGACTTACTTGCGTTTCTGATGCAGTGCCACCTTAGGGATCGCTGGTCATGGGCATTTAATGTTGGTATTTGACCTTCCCGCTTACATTCAGTGATTTTTCCAGGGATGGCAACACAGATTTTGGTTTTCAGCTGAAATGTTGTAAGATCAGGGATGGGAGTGGCTCGTGATGAAAAAAGGCGGAAAGGGGCGTGGCCGGAACGGGGGCGTGGCCACTTACAAATGTGGCACTAAACATGCTGAACATGCATACCTGTCAACTCATACGGTTTAGCCACAGTTCATACGGATTTTGTAGTGAATCTTATCGCACAAATCATACGGATTCTGAAAATTTCCACCCCCCCCTTAACAGGTAGTTCCGTTTGCTTTTGCCCAGAATGGTGCTAGTCTACTCGAATGCTTTCATTTCCGGTAACTTTCCAGTAAATCACGTGGTTCCTAGTTGAAAACAGCAGAGTATTCATTGCATACTTCGGTAGTGTACAAGCAAGTTCTACAAGGAAACAA